AAGTGCAAGGCATCGCCGGGGGGGCAGGGCGCGGGGGGGCCGCGGCCGCCAGCAGCAGTGCCAGGAGGAGGGCAGGGAGGGAGGGAGCGTCGGAGTGGGGTGAGGACGACGGTCGCGAGGAAAGGAGGGAGGGGGAGTGAGGATCCAAGCCGTTGCGTTGGAGGTCTTGCCTCCATTCGGCGGCGAGCCCGGGGGGGAAGTGAGAAAGGGCGGGCCTTCTCAGAAGACTCGGAAGTTCCCCAGCCTTGTGAGAAGTTTGCCAAGCCTTTCCCGAAGACGCAACAAAAATTCTCTGAAGGCGCGAGGGTTTCTGAGAAGTCCCGCCGGGCTTCTGAGAAGTCCCGCCGCCTTCTGCGAAGGCCTTCTCCTTCTCGCTTCCCCCCCTCGCTCGCCGCCAATCCAGTTCCACCTCTGGGGGCCCCGCTTCCAGCCCAGGGGGGTCCCTCTGGAGATCAGCTCTGAGGCGAAGAGCCGGCCAGGATGGGCCTTCCTTCGGAGTGGTCCGCGGAGCGATGCTGAGCAGATTCGGGGTGGGGGGAGGGGGGGGGTCCTCCAAGCCGGAGTAGTGGGGGGTAGCGCAGATGAGGGGGGGGCGGGAGCAGATGCAATAGATAGTATTGGCAGTAGCTTGCGCATGGATGCAATAGTCTGCGGTCTGGACGCAGGAGTTGCGCGCGGATGCTACAGCGCATCCTTTCAGACACAATAGCTCACGCCCCCTTGCAATAGTTCGTTCCCCCCAGATATAGTTCGCCCGAGAGTTCGCGCCATAGTGACCGCAAGCAGACCATTGCACCTCCCACCGCACCACCACCGGCGTTACCCCCACCGCTTCGGTAATGGGAGGGAGGGAAGAAGGAAGAAGGAGGAGGAAGGGAGGAAGGAGGAAGGAGGAAGACGGGAGGGAGGGATGGGAGAGGAGGAGGAAAGAAGGGCAGAGGAGACGGGAGGAAATGGAAGGGAAGGGCAGAAGACGAGGGAGGCTCTGGACAGGTTCGGCAGTTTGGAGGGGCACCTGGGCTGCCAAGGACTGCTGTCGTGGGCGAGGCCCCAGACTCATCCACTCTGGGCGCATCCTCTTCGTTCGGAGGTGGCTGAGAGAGAGAGAGACAAAAAAAATCCCAACAAAACACACACAACACAAAAAAGGAAAAAGAAACAAACAAACAAACAACAAAACAAAAACAAAAAAAACAAAAAACGAGAGGCGGGGCGGACCTTCCTTGCGTCTTTCGCGCGAGATGGTAGGGCACGCCCAGGCTCACCCCCTCAATCATGAGAGAACTACTCGTGCGAGCATGAACGATGCTTCCCTCTCTCCTCCTTCTATCCCCCCCACCCCCCCCCCTCTCCTCCGGCCTCCCCATCATCCCTTCCTTTCTCCACCCCTCCTTCCACACCTCCTTGTGACCTCGTTCTCCTGCCCCTCACTTGGCAGGAGCTCGCTCGCGCAGAAGAGCCTATGGCATGGATCGCCCCTCCTCGCTCCAAGCGGAGGGCCGACCTGCCACTGCTGCCGTCTGCACTGTGCCCTGGCAGCCTGGGCTCGACGAGGCCTGGGAGGCGGTGGCCCTGGCGCCCCGGTGAGGGACGAGGAGGAGGAGGAAAAGGAGGAGGAGAAGAGGAGGAAAAGGAGGAAGAGGAGGAGGAGGAGGAGGGGAAGATGGAGGAGGAAGAGGAGGAGGAGGAAGAGGAGGAGGAGGAGGAGTGGGAGGAGGAGGAGGGGTGGAGGAGGAGGAGGAGGAGGGAGGAGGAGGAGGAGGCTCTTGCGCTTGGGTAGCGGTCCCTCGGTTCACCATCTCTCTCTCTCGGCCTCCGTGTCGTGTCCCCCCGTCGTCGCGCTCGTCGGCGCCACCAGCGGCCGCAGGCGAGCCGTCCTCGGAAGGACCCCCTCCCTCCCAGACGGCAGAAGGGGTGCAAACATTTCGGGTCGCCAACAGGTAGAAAGGAGGGAGGAGGAGGGAGGAGGAGGGAGGAGGGAGGAGGGGGGAGGAGGAGGAGGAGGAGGAGGAGGAGGAGGAGGAGGAGGGAAGGAGGAGAGGAGGAGGAGGAGGAGGAGGAGGAGGATGGAGGGGGAGGAGGAGGAGGAGGGAGAAGGAGGCAGGAGGGGTTTTGCAAGCATTTCCCGGCCAGACGGCAGAAAGGGGGGTGCAAACCTACAGCAGGGCGCCAGCACACGCCACAGCGCACATCGGGAGTACGGGAATACCAGAACAGCCCCCCAGCATTTGCGTCGAAGGCCGATGCCCCAAACCCTAGTGTTCCCCGCAAGCATGCGACGACGAGCGGATTCCTTCGTTGTGTCCCCCTCCTTCCCCTCGCCCTCTCCCCGCCCCATCTATCGTTGTGGCGTCCTTTACCCCTCACGAGCAGCGCGGACGTCGGAAGAGTACACTCGCCCACAGGAGCAATAGCAGCAGCAGCAGCAGCAGCAGCAGCAGCAGCAGCAGCAGCAGCAGCAGCAGAGGGCACGAGAGGGGGGGGGGGCGGCGGCGATGGGCGCGCCGCCCTGCTAGGCGCCGCGCGGACGACCTGCGGGCGCAGCTTCAGCAGGGCGGGGCGGCGGCGATGGCGGCGCGCTTGGCGGAGGTTGGAGGACCGCTCCCCCCTTGGGTCCGAGGAGGGAGACCCAGACCCCCCCCCCGAGTCGTGAAAGGATCGCGACGGGGGGGGGGGTCTGCCGCTCTCGGCTTCCAGGGGCCTCAACGGGCCCCGGGGGGCGGGCAAACCGGGAGGAAAGAAGGCCGTCCCTAGGGAATCGGTCTACTAGACTTCTGGGGGTCCACGTCGCGAGAAAAGAACACGACGTCGGAGATCTGGGGAGGGGAGGGGGAGAAAATTCGAGTGTTGGTCGGGAGGGGAAGGGGAAGAAACAGGCTGAGGAGGAGGAGGAGAAAGCGGAAGACAAGTGTAATCACAAGACGCGTCAGCGATGTTGCAAGAAAGCCCCCCCCGAGGTTCCTTCTTTATAGGTCCTTGCAAGAAATTGTTTGCACTGACCGTCTGGGAATCTTCAAGATTGCGAATCAGCACTATTGCTGCGCACTCCGAATCCTTAATCGTGCCAGGACACCAGTCCTGGGACTTCCGCATCAGCGTGTTTGTTGCGTTCTGACAATCCTAAATCGTGCAAGGGCAACATTCCTGGTACTTCAGCCATAAGAATTCTCCAAATTGCTGCATCCGTTTCAAATGAATGTGCGAGGCGCTGAAAGTGGAGCCAACTATTGAAAACAGACCGCCACCTTTTTGACTTCTACAAATGCTTACAGCTAATGTGCGCGGCGCTATGGTGAGAGACGCATTTTGAAAAGCATCCGCCCTTCATTATTGAAAGCGTTACAAGCCTAAAGTTTCGGGATCATAAACAGTGAGGAAGTTTCAGGCGGAACGCCCAGCCCGCCCTGCCGACGCGTCTGGGTGTGCGACACGGAGGAGCAATTCCTCAAACGGTGCTTGCATTTCGTGGTTCTCGGAAGTTTCAGGCGGAACGCCCAGCCCGCCCTGCCGACGCGTCTGGGTGTGCGACACGGAGGAGCAATTCCTCAAACGGTGCTTGCATTTCGTGGTTCTCCTCTTGCTCCTCCTCCTTCTCTTCCTCCTTGCCCTTCTCCTCATCCCCCTCATCATCTCCCTCCTCCTCCTCCTCCTCCTCCTCCTCCTCCTCCTCCTCCTCCTCATCATCATCATCAGCAGCAGCATCATCATCCTCCTCCTCCTCCTCCTCCTGGTTGTCGGACTGGGCAGAAGCAGAAGCAGAAACGGGGGAGGGAGGAGGGGGGAAGGAAGGGGGAGGAGGTCAGGAGGTATTCCTCCTCCGCCTCACCCTTTCCCCCGTCTGGCCTCCCCCGCTCGTTTCCCCCTTCTGGCCTCCCGCCCCCTCCCCTTCCCCCTGTCTCACTCCCCCCCATCATTCCCCCGTTCCTCGCCATCCCCCTTCCCCCTTCTGGACCTTCCCCCTTCCCCCTTTCCTCCTCATCCTCGCAGTGCTATGCCATACCATTCATTGCGTACCCTTTGGGGATCGCTGTCCTCTTCGACACCCAGCCGTGCGATCAGAGAGGGGCTCTCCGCGGTGGCAAGGTATGGGTACAGGACGGGCAGGACGTCAGATCTGGCGCGAGCCGAGCGCACCTAGCTTGTCCTCCCCCCCTCTGGCCTCTCCCTTCCTCCTTCTGACCCACCCCTCTCTGCGACCTCCTCCTCCCTCCTCCTCCTCCTCCTCCTTCTCCTCCTCCTCCTCCGCTTCTTCCTCCTCCTCCTCCTCCTCACTCCGCTGCTCTCTTCCCCCCTACTCCCCCGACCGTCGCCTGGCCAGACGGGCCGCTACCCAGGCGGCCCTTCGGACCTCTCCCTGCCTTCCTTCTGACCTACCCCTCTGACCTACCCCTCTGACCTCCCCCTCCTCTTCCTCATCCAGAGGCTCCCGGAAGCCCTGGCCGCGCGCCTCCTCCCCCCCCCCAAGCAGCAAGGAAGCTGCGCTGCCCTGACTTGTCTCGGAGAGGGAGGGCATCCCCGGCAAAGGAAGTCAAGCCGGCTCGCGCTCGAAAATCCTGTAGCCTTTTTCCCGTGTTCATTCGGGCAGCACAACAGGTGTTGGAGGACGGTGGGAGCAGCAGCAGCAGCAGCAGCAGCAGCAGCAGCAGCAGCAGCAGCAGCCAGTAGAGTGGGGACCCAAGAAACACCCTGCTTGCCTCCAGGGTGCCCTGGGTTTCTTGGATGTCGATGTTTCTTGCCCTGGCCAGCGCGGCGTTCCCACATCAAGGACCCATGGACGTCCTGGGGTCTCGGGGCTGGGCTTCAGCAGCCCCACCCTGAGAGTCTGGTGGAAAGGTCCCTGGTGGTCGGGCCCCACGCTGCCGCCGACCCCCCAGGGGGCCGAGGCCGAGGCACTGCCCGCCCTCGGCAGCCCATCGAGGTCTTTCCCGCGACCACGCATGATGTCACAATGTGCCACTCAGCTCCGCTGCAGTCTGGCCGGTTAGGCTGCTCGGCTCTCACCCGAGCGACCCGGGCTCGAGCCCCGGTGGTGGAGAGCTCCTCTCCTCGGAGGCCTGGGCCTGCGCCTGGGCCCCCCGCCGCACGGCTCCGCGCCCGAGCCCGACCCGGGGGGCGGGCGCCGACGGGGAGTGCCCCACCCGGGGGGGTGCAGCAAAGGGGCCCCCTTGTGGGCCCCTGGCTGGCCCCAGAAGTGGCCCCAAAGAGGACCCAAGAGAGGGGCCCTGCTCTTCCCCCCCGTGTGGGTCCCCCTCCCCTGGCGCCCGCCCGAGGCCCGCCTTCATCGCGGCCCACGGCCCGTGCCGCCGACCGGGCGCGGGCTCGGAGCCCACCGGGATCGACGACGACTGGCCTCCACTGTAGTATCACCGTGTGCTGTCTGCGGGTGCTGCCCCGCGCCGCGAGAGGCGCTCTCACCGCAGGAGCCGCCCGCGTGGCCCCCGTTCGGGGACCCCGTCGGGGGGCACAGCAAAGTTCGCCGCCGAGGACCACTTCGCTGCGGCAGCGGAATTCCTTGGCTTGGCCCGGCTGCCACCGCGCAACCGAGGCGTCATCAAACGCAAGACCCCGAAGTCCGATGCGATCGGCCCCTTTCCTCCTCTCGATCGGGCCTCCTGTCGACACCTGGGACGCCGGCCCCAGCGGAGAGGATCCGTCAACGCGAGGAGGCCGTTCGAGGAGCAGCAGGGTCGGCCTGAGGCCGCATGTGCTTTGTTCTGTCTCTTCGGGCCCTCGAGGAAAATCCTGGCGCACACTCCAAGTCCCCAAGTCCGCACATGACGCGGAGGGACGGCGTGCTCGTGAAACTACTCTGCACCATGCCGCGTGCATGATTCGTCTGGCCAGGTCTTCAGACCTGGGGGAGGTGGCCATACATGAGCTTGGACAGCACCTTTTTACCGCAGTCTGTTGGGCGGTGGCAGAGACCTTGCAACCTTGAGCTTATCTTCGCCCCTTGCCTTGCCTTGCCTTGCCTTGCCTTGCCTTGCCTCCTCCTCCTCCTCCTCCTCCTCCTCCTCCTCCTCTCTCCTCCTCCTCCTCCTCCGCCCCCCCCTCCTCCTCCTCCTCCTCCTCCTCCCTCCTCCTCCTCCTCCTCCTCCTCCTCCTCCTCCTCCTCCTCCTCCTCCTCCTCCTCCTCCTCCTCCTCCTCCTCTCCTCCTCCTCCTCCTCCTCCTCCTCTCCTCTCCTCCTCCTCCTCCTCCTCCTCCTCCTCCTCCTCCGCCCCCCCCTCCTCCTCCTCCGCCCCCCTCCTCCTCTGCCTCCTCCTCCTCCTCCTCCTCCTCTCCTCCTCCTCCTCCTCCCTCCTCCTCCTCCTCCGCCTCCTCCTCCTCCTCCTCCTCCTCCTCCTCCTCCTCCTCCTCCTCCTCCTCCTCCTCCGCCCCCTCCTCCCCCCCCTCCTCCGCCCGCTCCTCTCGCCCCCCCCCCCCCCGGCTCCCGGGGGCCGCCCGAGGAGCCCTGGCCCAGGAGTGGAGCCCGCAGGGCCCGCCGCACGCCGGGGCGGCAGGCCGCCCGCCCCTCCCCCCCCCCTTCCCAAGGGCCCATGGCGCCCCCTGGCGGGGGGAGGAGGAGGAGGAGGAGGAGGAGGAGGAGGAGGAGGAGGAGGAGGAGGAGGAGGAGCAGGAGGAGGAGGAGTGGGAGGAGGAGGAGGCGGGGGGAGGGGCACGGGGCAGAGGGCTTTTGGCGGCGGGCGGCAAGGGGAGGGAGGGGGAGGCGGGGGGGAGGAAGTGCCAGGTCACAACCGAGCGGAACGGGTCAGATCACGACCGCCATGCACCGCTGGGGCGGGTGAGACCCCCACCGTCCTAAAGGAGATCTTGGGAGATTTTCCGAGGGATCCCGAGAGATCCCGAGAGATCCCGAGAGATTCCGAGAGATTCCGAGAAAGGGGGGCCGACCAGGCAGTTTCGCCAGGGAGTCCCCGGAGCCTCTTGTCTCGATTTTGATCGTGGGGCCTCCCTCAGACGACCTCCTGAGCCGCCCAGAGACCGAACTTGAAGCAAGGTTGGGGCGATCCTCAAGGAGTGTGCCCAGGAGGATTCAAACCCTTTGGGGATCCTTGTTGTCCAATGAGGGCGGAGGTGACATCCATGGCCAATCCACGATTGGAGTTCCACCGGCTTCCAGCCCCTGAGCTCTTCATCCAACAGCTCCTTATCCAATGCCCCGGCCGTAGACTGATCTGCGCAGCGCACAGGACGAATCGGCCACGCGCAGGGGGGGGGGCAAGGGGAGGCGGGGCAGGCTTCTCAGAAGCAGGCGCGGGCCTTGTCCACAGATGCAATGGAGGATGACGATTAATATAAATGACCGGGGGTCGTGTTCACGCGGCGGCGCCCGCGATGACGATTAGAAAAAACCGGCCGCGCGCTGGAAAACTATGTTTCAAAATCGTTCACCTCCAGTCAGAAAAAGGCGCGGAAATAACAGAAAACTATGTGTTTAATCGTTCTCTTCCACTTTTTGAATTATAATCGTCATCCCGCAGTAAGGCCCTCGCCTGCTAAGAAGCAGCCTCCTTCCAAGAGGCCTTCCCCTGTCCCCCTGCCCCGAGGCGCGCACCGCCAAACGAAGGAGGTGCAGCCCGCCTCCGTGCGCCCGTCGCCCGAAGGGCGGGCGAGCTCGCTCTCGCCCGCCCCGTCGTGCGCGCGGCGCCTCGCCTCGCAATCCGACCAGCGGCTGCCCGCGCCTGACGCCGATAGGATTAAGCCGGGCATGTCCCTCTACAGGAGGAGCATTCCAGAAATAGTCAAAAAATAGTCCGAGGACGATTTGTGAGTATTTTTGACCACTGGAGACATGCTTTGACTATTCCCCATTCTTCCTCGAAACATCCGCATGTAGGCGGACATGCCCAACCTAAGCCTCGCCTCACGCTCCGACCAACGGCTGCCTGCGCCTGACGTCGGTAGGGTGCGGCGCGATCCCCGAAGAAGAACAATGCGGTGGGCTCGCGTCGGGTCGAACGGCAGCGACCCCGCCGCTGGCATTCCACGTTGAACGCTGCCAACGACCCAGAGTCGGCCCATGCTGATCTAACGTTTCGGCAACGGCCGATTGTTCGATCCCCAAGGTGTCAGAAGCCAACGCTGAAGTAGGCACGGCACGAACCTGCCGTAGTGTGTGGCGCGAGTCCCAAATAATGTGAAGAAGACGAAGAAGAAGAATATGACGGAAATAAGTGGCACAGGGAAGGGACGACGAGGGGAAGGAGGGAGGAGGACAGGGGGGAGGAGGAGGAGGAGGAGGAGGAGGAGGAGGAGGAGGAGGAGGAGGAGGAGGAGGAGGAGGAGGAGGAAGAGGAGGAAGAGGAGGAGGAGGAGGAGGAGGAGGGAGGAGGAGGAGGAGGAGGAGGAGGAGGAGGGAGGAGGAGGAGAGGGAGGGGAGGGAGGGAGGGAGGGAGGGAGGGAGGGAGGAGGAGGAGAAGTCGGGGAGCGCAGGGAGAGCGAACCGGGGGGCCTTAGTCCGTGGCCCGTCGCTCCCACGGGGGTGAGGTGGTGCCAGGCACAAGGATAGGGATACGCTTCAAACTGATAAAAGCAGGGCACATCGGCCTCGTACTACAGCTGGCGCGAGGGCTAAGAGCAGCCCAGGTCTCCGAGGGGGGCCCTCATGCCCTTCGCCGTCGGGCCCCCCCCCACCTGACGGATCGATTCGTGTTTGGTATCTCTGTGGGGCCCTTGGCCTTTCGACGAAGGGGCTCGTGCTCTGGATCCGCGCTCTGGTGGCCCTGCGTCGGCTGGTACCTCAGAGGGGGGGAGGGTGCAGAAGAGGCTCTCGGCTGGTACCTCAGAAGGGGGGGGGGGGGGGGGGGGGCAGAAGAGGCTCGGAGACTTCGCGCGGGAGGTTTCTTCTCGTCGATCTCGGCCTCTGAGGGCCCGCTTCGGGCCCCGCGAGCCTCCGACGCCGCCGCCGCCGCAGCGACTGCAGCGGCCGGGGCCGCCGCCGAGAGGCCACGGCGACGCCGGAGGGCGCGCGCTCCGCACGCGCTTTGCGCGCCTGGTGGCGGCCGCCAGCGACGGGGGGCAGCTGTCCAGCTGCCAGGAGGGAGGGGGGGCTGAGATGGTACTTTTCCACCTCCTCCTGCCCCTCCTCTGCCTGCTTATCCTCGTCCTCCTGCCTCCTCCCTCCTCCCTCCTCCAGGCCCGAGCCGTCGGAGACATTTCCTGGCGGCGCTTTTTGGATTGTGGCAAGTTTGTTGCTCTCCAGCCAGGTCCTCACTCCATCACGGCGCGGGCCCATGCGCGCCACGTCGAGCTCTCGCGCCGCTCGTCGTGACCGCGACCGAGACCCTTCCGCCCGGCATGATCCTTGCCAGGCGAGGCCGAGTGTCCGTGCCGCTGTGCGGAGGCTCGGCTATGCGGCCCGAATCGGACGCGTGCCACGCGTGGCCGACGTCCGCGACTTGGCGCAAGCCTGCGGCCTTGGCCGCTCCGGTCCAGCTCAGCTACCTGACGTCGTTCACAACAGTGCTCTTGACCGCCCTCACCCTTTGGGTGAGGATCAGCCGGGCTACATTGGTCGACTTGCTGTTCTGCCGCCGAAGCCGCCGCCGGCTTTTTCCCCTCGGCTGCCCGCCATCTCGTAACAGGTTGCCCCGCCCGTCAGCATGCCAGAGCCGCTCTCCGCGCCTTCGCTGCTGAACCCCGAGGCTCCTTCTTTCCAGATGCCGGAGGCTTCGCCTGGGCCGGTCTTCGTGGAGATCGAGGTGCAGAAGCGCACCGTTTCCTTCGACGTGCCGTCTTCGCCGCGCCCACCGCCCCGCCAGGTAGAGAAGTGCACTGCTGTGCCGATCGACAGCGGTGCCAGCCGAGATATCGCCGCCGAGTTCAAGCAGAGCATTTCCGATCTTGCGCACCAGCATTGCCCTGCCATGCTGGGGCAGCTAGACACTCTGTTTGGCAAGTACACGGGCCAGGAGGACCTTCTTTACCTCAAGGTTTGCAAGAAGGTCGGAGTTCACCCGACGCCGATCCGCCGCGGAGTGAACCGTCCTCCAGATTAGCTTGAGTTTCCAGACAGGTATGTCTCTGCTTGTGTGTTGCATTCGTATGTATGCCTTTGCGCACGCATGTTCTCTAGCATGTGTACACTTTTTTGCCTCTCTAGGTTGTCGCTCTGTGTTCAGGTCTCTCTCTCTCTCTCTCTCTCTCCATGTGAGCGGGGGGGTTCTTGCATGAGTGTCTCAGCAGTCAGAGAACCGTCGGAGCACGCTTCTGCCATGCCCCTCGTCGCACTTACACCTCCCTCCTCCCTCCTCCTCCCTCCCTCCTCCCTTTTTTCTCAAGCAATTTGGGCGCAGGCAGGTGCACGAGGGCCAGGAGGCCCGCTCGGCACCTCACGCGCTCGATCCTCGGGGCTTCCTCGCAGCGCTTGAGGGACCCAGATCACGGGCCTTGCCACAGCCCGAAGTCTGTGGCTAACACCGAGGTAGATTCTTGCAGCGATGGTGCAGTTGTGGTCTCGTTGCGATCAGTGCCGCAGGTGCGAGTGGAACTCCATCATCGCGAAGCAGGGCGGCAAGTGTTCGGCCTGCGGCACTCACATTGTTCTGTACAAGCCAGCGGGCCGCAAGGTGCACTGGGAGGATGACGTCCAGGCTGAGTCAGCCCCTGCCGCAGCGCCCGACCATCCCAGGGGCGGGCGCCCGCGCAGCCACTCCCCTCGCGGCGGGCGTCGGGGCGGCACGGGGAACGGGGCCAGGGGCAGCTCCAGCTCCTCCGTCACCGACTTGCTGGAGCAGGCAGCCCAGGCCACAGAGGATGCGGCGTTGCAGGCGGCGCTCAAGCAGCAGATTGAGAAGATCAGCTCGCAGGCTAAGGCGGACACGGAGGCTGCCGCATCGCCAGCTGAGGTGCTCCGCAAGACCGATGGCGCCTGGAAGAATGCGGAGCACCACCACTCGCAGTGCGTGGACAACGCGATGCGCCTGAGGCAGAGCCTCGAGGCCGCTGAGGCCAAGGAGGCTCGCGCAGCGGTTGCCTTGGCGCAGGCGGCGGCGGCCAAGAAGGCGGCGGCCCAGGCAGTGGCTCGGGCCGAGGGCGTTGGGCCCCCTTCGCCGACCGCTGCCGCGTCGGCCATGTTCACGGTGGAGTGGGACGAGGCGCGGTTCAGTTCGTTGGATGACATGGTCGAGGCGGGGGACTGCTCCAAGGAGGAGCGCGCGGCCCTAGAGACGCTTCACAACCAGCTCAAGGGGGCCAAGTCGGACCTCAGCGGCAAGGAGAACGAGATCAAGGCCTGGCTCGAGAGGGCCAAGCTGATGAAGAGCGACATTCACGACAGGATGCGGAAGAAGAGGAAGGGCGACGATGGAGGAGCGAAGGGCGCGGCTGGCCAGGAGGCCAAGCCGCCTGCTGCTGGGGGCGAGGCTGCAGCCAGCCAGAGCCCCGCGGCGGAGGCAGCCCAGACCGACGAGAGCGAGGCGGCGCCCGAGAAGATCGAGGAAGACGCGAAGAAGCTGTCGGCGGCCAAGTTCACGGCCAAGGCCGAGGCGGCAGCGGCCAAGGCGGCTGCCATGGCCCAGGCCAATGGCGGTGGCAAGGGTGCCACCTCGTGACTATCTGCTGCAGCAGATGAGGGCCACACTGAGGGCTCCACGACATTGTTCTACGCGAATGTCACGGCCTTCACCCCCAAAGTGTGGCAATACCTTCACTTAAAGTATTGCAAGTACTCCTTCTGGGCCTGGGCAGAGACTCACATCCACGACGAGTCGGAGCTCAGGGAATGGGACAAGAAGGCACGAGATGCACATCTTCGTCTTCACTACAATGCGGCGCGCCCCTCGGACAAGTCTGTGGCAGCAGGGTTCGAGGAGCGCGCTAACGAGGGCGGCGAGTTTTTCATGGCTCAGCAGCACCTTCAGGCCCACTTCTTACCTGAGGCCAAGGTTGCTGCTGGACACTTGCGCGAGGCGTTCCAGGCCAGCCTAGACGGTTTTCTTCCTATGGTTCTGCATCTCACTGGGTATTCTATCATAGTAGTGGTACTATACGCGCTGCCCAGTATCCTGATGACGGGCCACAACAGGATCTGATTCCAACGGCTCGGAGGTCTCCTTCGGGCAGTCAGGCCCCCATGGCTGATAGTGGGGGATTTCAACATGGAGCCCGACATCCTCGCATCCAGTAAGTTCGTCTCGAAGCTGAACGGCATCATTCGCACAGCCGGCCCTGCAGGTACTTGTGCCAACAGTCAGGGGCGGGACAAGTTGCTAGACTATGTGGTGTGCAGCCCTGAGGCCTCGTCGTTTCTGAAAACAATCAGAGCCGTGCGATCTGTCCCTTGGAAGCCCCATCAAGGTCTGGCCATTCAGTTGCGTAGTTCTGGTCTTCAGCTTCTCACCCGCTCCCTCGTGGTCCCCCCCGGGCCCCCTCAGGCCCCGAGACCCCGTAGGGAGCCCACTGCAGGTTCTAAATCTAGTGTGTCTAGAGCCCGCCAGGCGGTTGCCCAGCAAGAGGCCCTGGAGGCTCGCAGGTCTCACTTTCAAGAAATGTTTGGGGATTGCTTTCACAGCCCTGGGGCCCCGTCGTCGTCAGTGGAGGGTGTAGGTCAGGCCCCCCCCGATGAGGTCGAAGAATCTCTCGATTGTTGGCCCGACGAAGAGGACGACCCGTGGGCAGACCAGTTGAACTTTTGCGCAGATGGAGAGTTGAGTAATGCCCTCGCCTCCCCGTCTCACCCCATCCTTCCTGAATCAGGCTCGGCGGGCAGCAGTGGTTCGTGTCGGCAGGAGAGGCGGCGTAAGACTGATCCAGCAATGGCGCAGCATAGTCCCCTCCCCAATTCGTGCCAGCCCCCCCCCCCCACCCACCGAGTTGAGGGAAGATTTAAATCCCGATTTAAACCAGCATGATTTACAGTTTTCTGATCCTGGGACCAGTCCTTGACAGGCCCCTGAAAGCCCCCCCTCCGCGTCGGCCACTTTCCAGATCCCTAGCGAGTTATGGGTCGAGAGCAGACGGGAGGTGGGTTTTGCTTCGGGGCAGGACTGCATTCAATCCCTTTCTCCGTCCCTCCTCAAGTCCGTAGCTTTTCGGCTCGAGGCCTCACACTCCACTGTTGTTTCAGGAATGTATGAAGCGTGGATTTCCACAGTCGAGCTGAGCATCACCAGACACCATGGCATGGAGCTCCCCCGCTCGCGGCGTGCGCACGGGGCTCGCTGGGTCGAGGGCCCTGTCAGGCAGGCGGCTCACCGACGGCAGGTCCACCTCCGCGACCGGAGAGCCCAGTGGTGGACCCAGGTTCACACGCTGATCGCAGGAGTCAGTCGACACCTCCAGCGCGGGAACGGCACTCACCAGTTGCAGTGTTACCAGGAGGCGGCGCTGAAGGCAGCTGGAGATCGTCCCGAGGGCGCTCATAGTGTGCTCCGAGGGGGGCGTGACCCTCCATGGGAAGAATGGGTGCGTCTTCTTGAGGCAAAGTGCCAGATCAACCCTGCTGCGTTGGAGTCGTCTGTGCACAACTCTCGGAAGATCATGCAGCGGGCCCAGCGGCTTGCGGTGTTATCGGCCATCCACGACTTCCGCGCGTGGGTTGTGGAACCAGAAGCGAACGGCATCCTTCACAAATATTTGAAGAAGGGTCCTTTGCCTCCTACCGAGATCGTGGTGGGCCAGCAGCCGGTGTACCACCCGAAGGACATCATGGACGCGAAGGCGCAGAAGTACCAGCAGTTGTGGGCACCCTCTGCCCCCAAGGCGCAGGACGCACGGGAACTATTTCGACAGATTCGAGTTCGAGCGGTCGACGAGCCGCTCCCGCAGCTCGAGGTGACGGACGTTGCCAGGGCTGCTTCACGTATGAAGGCGAAGGCAGGCATGGGCATCGACATGGTCACGCCTGTCGACTACCAGAGGCTCCCCGTCGAAGGCCAGGCGGAGTTGCTCTTGATCTTGGAGGCTGTCGAGACCACGATGGCCTGGCCGGCCCAGACGTTAGCAGCAATTGGGAAATTCACTCCCAAAAAGACTGCTGGCGATCGTGCGATCGGCCTTGTGTTGATGCTCGGCCGACTTTGGTCATTGATGCGCGAGCCGTCCGTGCAGACCTGGTCGGCTGAGAGCGCTCGCCACTGGGACGCCGCCCTCCCAGGTAACTCATGCCTGCAGGAGGCGTTCCTGCGAGCGCTTGATGAAGAACTTGCCTTCACCATGGGCATGCAGTACGGCCACGGGATGCTGGATATCGCCACGTTCTACGACAGCATCCCGTGGGACATCCTTGTTTCAGCCGCGCTGCGGCTTCACTTTCCACCAGTGATATTACATTTAGAACTTCTTCAATGCGCGGCACCACGTTGCTTGGAGCAGGACAAGGCGGTGTCGACCTTGTTCGACCCGCTTCTCAGCGTCGTGCAAGGTCTTCGGTCAGGAACTCGCTTCGCCAAGATGATGACCCACCACGTCATGGCCACAGTGACCACAGCCCATCCAAGGATGGGGGCGAGGCTATGGATCGACGACGTGTCCGAGACAGTCAAGGGGTCTAGCAAGGCCATCCGCTCGGAGCTCGCCAGCGGCATCATCACGACGTGCCGCGAGCTGCAGCAGCGGAAGCTTAAGGTTGCCGATAAATCAGTTGTCAGTTGCAGTTCGATGCATGATGCTCGGGCTATTGCTCGCCAGGTTCGCCGTGCAGGCTTTGTGGTCAAGCCAGTGACGCACGCCACCTACCTCGGCATCGACTTCGGGCGTGGAAGGCGAGTGCGAGCGACCAGGGTGCAGCGCGAAAAGAAGCATCAACTCATGAGCGCCAAAATCCGAAGGTTCACGAGAGTCACGTAACAGTACGGGGCCATGACCAAGCTCCAGAGGCAAGGCGGACTGCCCGCGGGCCTCTACGGGCACCAGGTCCACGGGCTCTTCGGCGAGCAGCTCACGAGGTGCAGGCGCAGGCTAGCACAGGCCTGTGCCTCGTCGGCGCGAGGCCGATGCCTCACCACCGTCCTGGCGCTCAGGGCCCCTGGAGCTGATCCTGGAGTGCTCTACCCGACCC